CAAAGTTAAATAATATTCATCCGATGAAACCATACTATTTCACGATTATTTGTTTTCAAAACTCTGCAAGGCGTTCCATTTGATCAGAAATACATGATCTTAAAATTACTCGAATAGTATCAATCAAACATCTATAAAACAATAAACTAGAAATCATTAAAACGGGAATTTAATGGCACCTTTTCAGAACGAGAGCAGGGAATGCAAAGGCCAAAAGGTGAACAATCGAATGTGAGATTTCCACCATTTGGCGTCTCTTTAAAACCCATCAACGTTCTCCAACCCAGATACTGATAAATTTTCGACATCAACCGGTCAGGCGGTGAGCCACACCCATCTGATAATCCTCTCCTTAGAACTTGGCACCTTCCCGAACCCGAAAGATCTCAAATTTTCCTCCACTACCATGGGGCATTTGCCCATGAAACTCACATTCACCTGAATCAACTCATTCTCCAAAAAACCCAACTTTTCCGAGTCCATCAGTAAATCATCTGTGAAATCGAGTCCACCGTCCAGATCCCAGTAATTTACAAGCTCCCCCTTGGACGTAATGCTCACCCACAAAAATGGCTATCTAATTACTTCATAGGACCCATTTTTCGAAGGCAAGATTATTGACCCAGTAATATAAAACGGACCCCTCTCACCAACACACTCCAAAATTTGGCATTCAGGTAGAATTTACCCAACCATCTCTAGATCCATTCCGCTCTCGAGGAGAGATTGATGAAGAGGAAGCAGAAAGAGGATGAAGGAACCAAGATTTCTGCCTTTGTATTTTCTGCTGAAAGAACATAAAATGAAAGAGGAAATAGAAATGGTGTTTCCCGTGATTCGGCCATTTTCGCGTGTTTTGTGAAGAAAACGTCCAAAACGTGATTTTTCTCGTTTTGTGTTTTCTTTACAATTTTTTTTTTTTGTTTTCAAAAATTCATTTTCGAAAATGGAAAAGAGAACGCTTTTTTGGTGTTTTGAAAAATCGAAAACAGAAAACGACTTGAAAATGACAAAGATAACAAGGCCTAAAGTTTGAAAGTTAGTAAAAACTATGGGCTCATATTTAATTTTTTGAAAAGTACAAGGGTGTATAGGCAATTAGATGACGATCCTTCGCGGGAAAACAATTAACACGTTCTCTGATCATCAAG